TTTTGAATAATTTTGCTCAGTTCCAAGGTGGTCAAATTGGCAATATTGAACAATCGGATCTGAGTTTAAACAATTGTGTGTTTAGGCAAACTATTCCGAAGATCCTTACGAGTGATGGGACGGAATTTAAAGCCTCATCTTTCCTACGACTTTACAGCACTGGAAAGGCGGATATATATAATACAACATTCAATCGTATCACTGTACCTGTCGACGAACCAATAATCTTGATACCCAAAGCAGAGCAAATATCACTGGATAACTCTTCCCTGAGTATCTGTCCTTTGGCTCACGTCATTGAAAAGACTAATTATCAATACTTCAGCCTAAACAGTCGTGATGACAGCGCACTCGCTCTATCATGCAGGAAATGTGACTATAAGTTCTACTCTTTGCAAAGAGGAACGGGGAGAGGATTGAAGGTAGACTCCGGTTTCCAGTGCCTCCCATGCCCGCGAGGCGCAGTATGTGTCCCATACATTAGATCAAAGCCAAACTTTTGGGGATATAAAACAAGTTCGAATCCACTTACGTTAGCTTTCATCATTTGTCCGTTTGGCTACTGCAATTCCCCGCCATCTGACAGCACTGAATACAATGCATGTCAAGGTAAACGTACTGGTTTTATGTGTGGGATGTGTTTATCCGGCTATTCAGAGGCTCTGTGATCAACGAACTGTACTTTAACACACGAATGCAACGACTATTGGTTCTGGATTGTATTTCTAGTGTATGTCTTCTTAATGGCGTCTCTCATCCTCTTCAAACCTCCAATGATAAAATATCCTTTACGACACATTTTTTTGGTTTAAAACGTTTATAGATGGCAGTCGCTTCACAAACTGGCAAACGGCTTTAATTGTACCGTCACGTTGATCTGGCTCCTGAAAAAGACACTGAAGAAAACAATCCATTGCTGTCTTCATCAGAGCAAGCAAAACAAGATAAAAGACAATTTTCGGGTTTATTAGAGATAATCTTTTACTTCTACCAAATATCACAACTGCTTCTCTGGTCGACTTCGCTGACCGAATTCTTTGAAACTGAATTTCTCATGCCCGTCCTTGGCTTCTTCAACTTCCAACCAGGTGTAACAAATCGTGGTTTTGTCTGCCCAAGGTCTGACACCAAAGACAAATGTTACACGACCCCTATTCTCTGTATCTTTCAGCGGAATCGTCGGGGCCGTAAGGGGAATAGCCCAATAACATATACTAGATTAGAACCACAACAATAACTTCTTCGTTTTATAGAAATGTATTAAAAGCTGTGCCTCCGGCTCGTGCTGTTGCCTCTCACACTAACTGCAACTAATGTGACTAATCACTATTCACCGCTTCCTAGTGTCAAGTGTCTAACAATTAAGCATTGTTCATTGTTCCACAATGTTTCAGTGTTCACAATGTTTCATTGTTTAGTTGTGCAACGCCCGGCCGTGCATATACAACATATCTCAGTCATATTGCTTATATAACACAAAGCTTCTTTTTAAAGTTGCTCCGGTCTTCGGAACGCTCGCTGCAATCTTTCTTCTATATGCCTTCCACGTCCTCATTCGTTGCAAACGGAGAGGTTTTCTTTGACCTGACATTTCTCCCTACCTTCAAGCCAGCGTCAAAACAGAGTTCCTTGGCTACGTAACCCTGGCTACTGTCAGTATTTCGCTAATTCACTGTGTCCCCGCTGCAGACAAGCTCAGATGGTTCTACAATGGAAACGTCTGCTGATGTTGCAGATGAAATGCTACAAATGGTGGCAATATGCATCGTTCATTTTCAATGCTATCTTTGTCGTTCCACTCATATTCGTTCTCGCTTGGATTCCGTTCAAACTTTACCATGATAAAATAATCGTCAGAAATTTCCTTCTTTTTGTTGTTTGTCCTGTGTCATTCTTGTTTCAAAGGCTAGTCCGCATCGTTTGTCGATCTGAGCGCCTTGAAAGAGTTGCTTCTAGGTCCATACGCACAGCCAAATGAAACGAGCAAGCGAGGAGCTTTGTATTGGCAGAGCATTTTGATTGCTCGTCGATTTATTTTGGTTGTAATCTTTTGCGTAGTGACCGAGCCATCCATCAGATTATTCTGCATGACGCTTGCTTGCCTTTTCATTCTATGCCTTCATCTTAAAATTAAACCATTTCAAATTCTTTCTCGAAAAACCTCGAGTCCATTTCCTTGATGTCTTTGATAGTTTTACGGCCGTATTCTAAAAGCTCACTCACACTCAAACTCATTGAGTGGGAGATCCTTATCTTCTCATAAAGTTTCAATGGCGGTATTTCCAGCCGAAAAGGGGCTTGATTCTCAGTGATTTACATTATATCTTTCCATCATTGAAAGAAAACTTTCTCATTGACCAGCATTAACAAAATTTATATGCCACACTCAATGAGTGTAAGTGTGAGTGAGCTTTTTGAATACAGGCGTTAGCTCTGATCAACCTGTTTAGGTCCGTATTTTCTAGTTCTCATTAAAATATCGAGGGACCTTTGGTGCCAGTTTTTAAAGCTTTCAAATGGCTGGAAGTTTTTATTTTAGGGATGTTTCCTGCAATTCTTGTTCTTCTTGTATGCTTTGCAATTATTTCGATATTCGCCCGTTTTCTTTTCGTTTGCAGCAGGGCTTGTCTTGAATGTTTCTCCAGACTTTGTCGCAAGAGGTGTTTGCGAAGTGATTCGAATTCTAGTTTTCTGATAAACATTTGTGACAGGAACGATGATGAATAGCAAGACTCTTGTCCTGTGTATTGTAAGATACTTGCAAAGTTAAGTTTAGTTGATAAAGTTGATTTTTTTCTAGCCAATTGGCAATTAACGTAATAAAAAAGCTGCTGTATTGTGACATAAGCGCATTGTTGAAAAGCATGTTTCATAAATGTTTTGGAAAATAATATAAACAGTAAACTTCAAAGGTCTCTTTTTGTTATACTATAGTCTATACGAATTCAGTACGCCTTTTAAAATCGTTTTGATTTTTGAAAAAAATCATGTCTGTGCATCTTTGAGAACGTGACAGAGAACTTGTGTGAAAATATTTATGTTTTTACGTCTTTTGCGAAATTCACAATATAAATAAATGAATAAAGGAGTCAACCAAGTGCCTTAAAATATAAAAAAGAAACTAACGTTTTGGTGCCGTATTGTCAGTAGATTAAGTCCAATGGCTTAGAATAAAATTAAGTCAAGTCATAAAATATTTTACGCAGTTGCCCTGTTATCATATAAAGAGAGTGTACTATCAAATAAGTGAAATAACCCATATTATTCAAGATTTATTGTCTGCTTTGATATTCATGTGCAGTACGCATGCATGGATAAAGTCATGTGTTACAAGCAAAGATCGCCATATTGGTTAAGATACAGTATTGAATCTTTGGTGAAAAGTCAATTTTAAAAAGAATACTGATTCATATAAACTGAAAATAAAATCTTGAATTAATTACGGAACACTTTATTATGAAGGCTTAGACGAAGCAAAAAATAAAATTGAAAATATAGGCGCAAAACGTACTTCCTGTTTGAAAAGGGATTTTTAAATAATTAAAATTATGTTTTGTGATGTCCGGCTTATGATAAATTGTTTTTCTTCACTTTCTTAGAAGCTCTTTGTACAATTGAGCTGTCGGCGGTTGTCGAAAATGCTGCCTTCGCCAATATGTAATCTTCGACACTATCACAAGTTTTTATACAATTTATTCAAATAACACAAAATCCCAATCAGCGCACGGACTGCTCACATCACACTTCACTAACACACACTTCTTTATAACTCACCACGCCCTCGTCTTAAATTTCGATTATGTTTCTGACGTCACGTGCGATTGAAACCCTATATACCCCTATATAATTACGTTATTAATAGCGCCAGTCTCCCACACGGTTATATCACTGTAACTTGGATTGCTCGTTATTGTTTTTTCGATTGTTTTAATCAGAAGATGGCGTTGATCTGGTTAGCAGGATTTTATGCAATCTTAGTATATTCATCTGGTAGGAAGCATATCTTTGTATTTTTAAATGACACTTCGAAATGTGAAGAAATCGAGCTTGTCATTTAAACTTCAAGCTGATGATTAGAGATTTCATACGATTAGACAGAGGACTATAAGATTCGGGACTGAATTCGCTCTTCAATTTGCCGACTAAATTTTATAAAACACGTTCTAGAGTAAAGTGTGATATTCTGTTTACTTAAAATTGGCTCATTTTCTGCCAAATAAATGAGTATTTCTCAAGAAACGGTTTGCAACAGCATTTAACATGCTAAAAAAGCCATTTTTGCAAAAAATCTGCAAGAAAAGAAAGAGGTTTGGCTGATATCAAGTAAATATTCAAATATTAGCAACAAAAATATTGTTTATTGCTATATTCATCTTTTTTATTAAAATTATTATCTATGTATATAGAAGAAGAATATAAATAGCCAAAAACTGATCATTTTGCAAAAGTCAAGATCTCAAAATCAGGCAAGGCTTCGAGATCTCGAAACCAGGCAAAGGCTTCGAGATCTCGAAACCAGGCAAAGGCTTTGAGATCTCAAAACCAGACAAGGCTTCGAGATCTCGAAACCAGGCAAAGGCTTCGAGATCTCGAAACCAGGCAAAGGCTTCGAGATCTCGAAACCAGACAAGGACTTGAGATATTAAAGCATTGGCTGGTTTCAAGTGCCCTAAGGAATGACTATGGTTACTGGTACAGTTACCAAAACATTGGTATGTTAAAATAAATTAATTTTGTATATATAAATATTGCAAGCCATTAATTACAGCTTAAAATTTTTAAATGTATATATGTGATGTTGCTACTCTGAGTCACCAATAGTTCCGAAATATCAACCACTCAAACTGTCTTGACCTTGTAGCTCAGTTGGAAGAGCATTGGACTAGCAAACCAAAGGTCGCGGGTTCGATTCCCACCGTGGTCAAGCTAATTTTTCAGCTTGCCCGGTTGGTGACCAGAGTAGCAACATCACATATATACATTTAATATACACACCTGAGTCTTTGCATTATCACTTTAAAATTTTTAATTAGTTTTGTCTTTGTTGAAAAATTCTCTAATACTTTGCTTAGTATCCTTCTGCAGTTTATCGTTTTCATCAAGTTCAAATGATGCTAAATATATACAGTCCTTTGGCAGCTCATCAATCCAAGGCAAATTATTGTACAACCAAGGAGTCCATTTCTTGTTCCAAGAACCTTTCCAGTAGTGCACCTTGACATTATCTTCATCTTTTTCAACAACTTTGCCAATGACGGGTACCTTTTCATAATTTTCAAGGTTTACTGCCACAAATACCCCAACTGTCACAAACTGCCACAGGTTATCAACTTCTGAGACTGTTTTTGGTCTCACATAAGGGCCAGTGTAAACCTTAAAAAGAATTTGAGAAATTAGTAAATATGAGACTTTACAGTACCTAGTTGATCTGCTGTAGTGTATTGGACACTACTCTCCATTGTCATCAACTCTGATTGCATGCACATTGGCCAGCTACCCTCACTGAGGTTGGTGTGTTTTAACTGTACATAGCCTTAATACTATACCTCTGGAATCTCATTAAACTGAGCATTGACAAGCTCAGCTGCCTTTTCTGTGGCATCTGACATGGGTTTCTGCAAGCACGGTCAAGGATGACAAAGCATGTGGTGTTGCCATTGTGTTTGAAGAACAAGCCTTTAAGATCTTTACTTCGTCTAGCAGACACAAGGAACGCTTCTCCGGAGAGACTTGGTATGTTTCCAAAGCATCTGCAAAGAAGGTGTCCCACCACTCCTTTTGTTCAGTAGAAATGACTCTGGAGTTGTTTAGAAATTTCGGGATATCCTTCTTCAATCTGTCTAAGTCCACATTATCTGGTGAAGATGGCACAAGATCAGGGGCACCTTCTGGGATCTCCAAATCCTATAAAATGATATATTTAAAATATTCAATTAGAGTTTGTTTGTTATACACTTGCGTGATGTTGATGTCAAAATAACAATATTTTCACTTGCTTAACCTTATCTGACAAACTATTCACAATTGTTAATACAATAATAAAATTCCAAGGGCCAAGGGCCCAAGCTAAGATACCCAAATGTGGCCAATGTCGTTAACACGTTAAAATGTCGTTAACTTTAATCACGTAGTTAGGCCGGTTGTATAAAACGTGGTTAGCGTTATCATAGTTAAAACGTAGTTAAAGTTAATCATCCTCAAAAGTATCGTTAACTTCTCAAAACGTAATTAAATATTGCCCCATGAACTTTGGAGGAGCAACAAAACATTAAAATCAACACATACCAAGGTTTTCAGCCGTTAATACGCTTTTATTTTTGCCATTTGGGCTCCAACAGAATATATTTTTGCTTCGGAAGACATGTCGATGCCGAATTGCGATCCTAGCAAAGACTAGCCATCGCCATTTTCATCTGCAACTTGTAGGTTGATTCAAAGGGACCTTTTTATATCAAGGACACCTTTTTCGTTGACTTATTTGGATGTATTTTGAACATTTTCTTTTATTTATTAATATTTCCGATCAAAATATTGTCAACTTTTGTAAATACGAGTCCTCAGTCTTGTTAAAAATCTATAGCAGCGGTCAATATTATGTGATGCTTCATGCTATTTCTAACAGCTGGGAAATTTGCTGTCGCTGTGCAAAAAATCGCTGGCACATAGCAGCATGTTTGTTCGAATTCGAATTTTTAACGAAATTCACAAAGCGAAAGTTTTATTGAGATCTGAATTTCTTTCGGCAGTGATCGAAAAGTTTAAAGTATGGAAAGCTCCTTATTAGCTCACGAACATTACTTCTGCTGTTAAAAATGGACTTTTTAACAGTGGATTTTGTTAAAATGGTGCCGCGAAAGATTCCATGGCTCCAACGAGCGGTTGTATTTTTTTCAACTGCTGTATTTATTTGTGAATGGCATGGAAACTCTCTTGCTTTAGCAGTCTAAATTTACATATTATGTAAATTGGATTCGTGTTGTATTACAAGACGAATTTTCAACTGGCTGGGACTGAATATGGGGGAGTGATAAGTGCATTCAAGTCTTGGGAAGAAGACCCGATGACTTGAACCCGCTTGAACACAACATTGGCGCGCGTGATTTTGACCAAAGTCTCTTGGCTCAACCTTGATTTCTAAAATGAGAAAGAGGTACGTAATATTTTTCTTGCAACCTTTAGTGTCGCTTCTCGTCGATATTTTCCCAGATAATTCCGCATTTTCACGGGAATCGAAAATTTCCATATGCCTAAGCACCTGTGGAGTTTGTGAACCTGAGTCACGGGTATTTACCGAGCAAGCCGGATAGCTCGAAATCTCAACGAAATCTCCAAACTTTTTGCACTATATTTGGCATCCACATCGTTTGTTGTTTAAGATGAACAGCATTTTGTGGATATGAAAATTGCCCTTCCCAATGAAATCGTGGATTGTACTTGATATATTGAGTATTTGCGTGCTTTTTAGTTTGAGAGTTCATGCCTGATTGAATATAGTACAGTAAAGGTCCGCTTATGTACATGTAACATGCACACAATCTGGAAACATGGTCAGTGTTACAGTATTTCATATTGTTGCATGATGTTTGCTGTGGTACACTCAGCCTGACCTCAACTTCTACCCCAACAGACCATACATGTTGTTATTTTAGTCATGTATTTTTATTTTATTTTTATACATTCTAGTCATGGGCATCAAAAGATTTAGAGCAGTTTCTAAGGATGATGAGAACCATCAACTTCAGGCATAACGTCGAACAGACAAGATTTGTCATCTTCCCGGGAGAGACTCCTAACATGTCAGTTCTTGTGACAGTCCTAGAGTCCATGGGCATTGAATGGGACATTGCATATTATCATTGCAATCCTGTAGTACTACAAGGTATGTGTAATATTAAAACTGTTATATATCGTGTGCATCATTCCCTTGTGCAGTGATTTTTTTAATTTTCATACTTATGAAATCACAAAGAAAGAAGAATGGTTGTATAAAGAGAAAGTTATGAAGTTTTATGCATCACATGCTTTCTCCAGTATAACCTAAAATGCTAGCATATCAGTAAGGTGCTCCATGCCATCAGACCTTGAATGCCATACAACCTCATACTGTGAGCATTCATAATTTGTGTTGTTTCTTGCAGAGAGCTGTTCCTTGACAAAGTCAACACACCCTCTCATTTTGACAAAAACATGTCAACCAATCAAAGGAGATGACCTATTCACGCAGTCTGCAGATGAGTTCTTTGCAGAAAAAGACACTGGAATCACCCACCAAAGGCAATTTAAGCCAGTTAAATTGTATGTAAAATTGCTAAACCTTTTTGTACAGGACAAAACTCTATATGTAGTTGATGCCTGCGGAGGTTCAGGATCATATGTGCCTTAGCTTGCCAAGAACTTGGTGTAAAATGCCTAGTTCTTGACAGGTCTGCTATTAAAGTGAGATTAATCCAGCAGAGGGAGGGCTAAATAAATCAGGTAAACCCAGCAAATACAGTATGTACCTGACAGTAGTGATCTTAATATGTTGTTTTTTTTGAAAGTGTGTATGGTAGAGTTGCTGTTCATTGCCGTACCAGCTTCTATGTTAAGCTCAAGAATGTATTTTATTAATGTAATTTATTTAATTAATTAATTATATGATTAATTGAACAATTTCCTAACAGTTAATATTGTATTGTTATATTGTAATTATTATATTGTTATTATATCATAATATTGTATATTTCTCTAAATCAGGCAAGGCTTCGAGATCTCGAAACCAGGCAAAGGCTTCGAGATCTCGAAACCAGGCAAAGGCTTCGAGATCTCGAAACCAGACAAGGCTTCGAGATCTCGAAACCAGGCAAAGGCTTCAAGATCTCCAAACCAGGCAAAGGCTTCGAGATCTCGAAACCAGGCAAGGCTTTCGAGATCTCGAAACCAGAAAAGGTTTGCTTTGTGATATTGGACATGCTGTAAATCAATTTTCCATTATAATTGTGGCAAATTTGCCAAATACCACACTGTGCTGAATCAATCTTCATTTTAGTGGCAAAATACCTCAAAATAGCAAGATGATTAATGTATCTGCCACGTATTTAAATAAAATGTGTTTCATTAACTGTTTTTATCATGTATTATTATATGGCCTGCTAAATGATGAGATTTTTTATAATTTATCAATAGACAATTGGTACAGTTTATGCAATTTGGGGTGATTTTACATCATATTGACCACTAACAGCTAGCATTGTATTTTTTTGTGGAAATTAAAAAAAATAGCAAAACCTTCAATATTTAGAACTTAGAGAAAAATTGATAAAACGTCCCAAGTTAGCAATGCAAACATTCTTGTTTTGTAAATTTTACACGTTCTGATCAAATTCAACAACAAAATGTTTTTTTTCTTGCTGTATTTGGCTTTAATGTGGCATTTTGTTAAGAAATGCACTAAACAGAATATCACACTTTACTCTGGAACGTGTTATAAATAAGCGTGCAAAAATCTAGCATGCATTTTAAATGGTTACAAAAGCGAGACGGACGACGATGGGAAGAGTATATATTAGGTGCATGAATAAAAGCAAGGCTTCACATAATATGTAGGAACTATGCATGCGTTAGGATGCATGAACTATACAATGTTATAATTATATTTTCTGACAACAATACTACAATAAAAATGATAGTATTGCACTTGGACAATGGAATGAATGCTTTAGACATCAAAGACAAATAAACCATAGAGCGACACCTGTGTGGCTCAAGAATAGCGATTGGCTATTCGAGGAAGCAAAAGTGTTGACATGGTGACATTTGTTAAAAAAACTATTGCGCGATAGAATTTTGTAACTTTCCTATTTTGTAGCAGTTTCATTCCCCAATTGGATGGTGTGCGTGGCTCACTTTGCCCAGTTCAATTACTGCAGATGCTAACCGTATAGTCTACCAGTATGCGTATTACCAAATAATTAGCTGCCTGCAGCACGCAATGGCTTTAATCCTTATAATGGTTTTAATAGCTACATATGAAAGTACATTCTATCGAAGGCAGGCAAAGACGGCCTAATATCAAAGCGAGAACTTTCAATATCACACTATTTCAATTAAGCGTCTATATCACGTTTATACAACTTTGTAATTAATGCGTACAAAAGAAGTATATCTTTCAATAATGTATTATCGAAAAAGACACGCGCGGTGATGCCGGCACTGGTGATTTGCCAGCTTGCATTGCCAGAAAAATAATTCTAGCATAATCACCTGGGTACTGCGGTAGGCCCTAACTGAACCCTGGTGTTTTTCGCAATTATAAATCTATTTCAAGTGCACGTGAGAGGGTATAACTATATGACCATTAGCATCAGCTATGAGCGCAATTAAATCATATACGTAATTAGGATTAATTTCTTACTATTGTTAATGACGAATCCAGTAAGTGTAAGGCGAATAATATTCTTGCCAAATATTCCGTAGAACGTTGTTGGTAATAGGTAACATATTTAACATTTATACTTGATGTTTTGCTAGCAAAAATACAGCATATCATGCATGCCTTTATTACAATTTGCGCAAACTTGTGATAATAAGTATTATTAAATGAGTATTAATTATGCTTACAAACCCTGATTTTCGGTTAAAAATCAAGGGAGGTTTACCAGTTCAACCAAAAGTTAGTAGCATGATTTGTAGTGAGATGTTGTAAATAGTTTTGTTGAGAAAACGTGTTTATTATAATGTATTATAAAAGTAGTTAATATAAAAGAAAGGTTATAAAACAAAGGCTGGAAAGGAATTGTGTAGTAATTATTTTATATAACTTGAATAGAAACAAAACGCTCGTGGATGATTTTGATGCGTGTAAGCAAAATTGGCGGATGTTTTTACGATAAATTGTTGTCCAATTCTTCTCTGACTAATTTGGTTTTGAAAAACTATGAAAATTTGCGAAAAACCTCGTAAAACTCCAGTCAAAGCTTCCTTGTTGAAACCTGCTTGCACAGCAAAAATGCTGGAAACTTCATGTAAATACTGGTATAAACTGCTGAATCTGCTATATATCTCGTATATTACACCAAGTATCGGCGACATTTCCTGAATCAAAATGGCGTCGGTGTATTGCAAAACATGCAAATGCACTGATTTTTCGAAGATGAAATGCTCGAAAACTGCAGGTTTATGAAGGTGAAAACAGGTAAATTTAGACTTTCTATAATTTATGCTAATTTTCTATCGTGTTTTCAAGTAGTGCCCGAAGGGGGGCGACGAAACTGAACGATAATCGGCCACAGAATACGGTCTATTATTTATAATCTCTATGGGTCTATCCCTTCCTCGCAAAAGACATTTCTTATAATGACGTCAAACCCGGAAAGTTTGATGTTACACGAAATTTGACTCTTATTATTTAATCCTAAGTTTTAATTTTCAATTTGAAATGTGTGCATACCGTTTGGTTAACTCCCATTGAAGTTCGTCTAGGGAAATCATATGGATAAAATTAAGTCTATTTATAGAGTTTACATAAGGTAGCTACGGCTTGAAGATTTTAATATGCTATTTTGAATCTACTAATCTAATCTATTGACTAACATGCAATTACATTTTCCATCTAAAAACAGTATTATAGTGCCTTATTTTTGTATATAATGGCCATAGTGTCTTTATATATACTGGCCATTTTGTTGTGTTTGATTGATTAACAATATGCATCAATTCATAATGTTGAACATTGTCTAGCCGTAATAGAACACTTAAAGGTGTTTCACATTATCCCGCTAGTTATAGAAACACGCGTGAAAGTTTGAAAAAACGAGAAATAATCAATGGGAAATCGAGCCCGTATGGCGAGTTTTCCATGTTATTTCGAGTTCTCCCAAACTCCCACAAGTGTCTCTGTAACTGTATATAGAAACAAAGGAAAAATGTTTTCTATTTCTTTTATAATATTATAACTCAGTAAAAAGATTTTGTACAAATATTATAATTCCATTCAATTACAAATTCTCATTACATTACCTCGCTTCTCAAGCGGCGGGAAAAGTCCCTTGTTCAGTCTATATAGTTCTAGAAACACGCTTCTCAACCAATCAGCATGCGCGTACCATAAATGTTATATTATAAACACACCTGGCAGTCGTGTAGTAAGCCCGAAAATACTATGAGGTTGATCTCATTCGTTGAGGCTTTTGGAGCAAGGGTTATGGTGATCATATTTTACGGTGATTATTATTGTTTTCGTGCAGATTTTTTTTATAACTAAACCCACTTAATGCATAATATCAACATTTTAATTTTAGCGCGTTTCAAATGCATGCTCATGTAGCTTTAAAGCGTTGTATTACCCCAATCAAAGGGGTACATAGCATAATTATACACAAGTTATATTGAGGTTCTTTGATAATACTGTTTGGCTTTAAAAACTCAATTAGTACACGCTTGTTGATTAGGCTAATATCTACGACAACAGTACAGGCATGGAAGATTGCAAGATATTACACTATCTGCATACCCGTGTTGTTATTCACGTGTACCATACATGCACGTTCATGTCGTTAACTCCATTCCTTAACCTGTATATAAAACTATGTTTCACTTTGTCTGAAAATGTCTGGCATGACTACTTGAACCAATGGCACGTATATATCTTGCATAGTTCCAAAGTTAATGGTGTACCCACAAACCATTCACTATTCATAAGACTCAGCCTACTTTTTTATTGATCTGCACGTGTTCTTGATTAAACCATTGCACAGGATGTTATAACAGCTCTTCTACCAGCCGTCTGCCGTTGTCATCTTATTTTCAAAACATTTTGTGTTGTCTAAAGACCACAATTTCTACTCCACCCCTGCATTTAGATATTTCGATCTGGAAAGGTAAACAGGGCATGGTTTTGCCTTCAGGAAGATTCAGGGTTCTCCCGCGTTGCTTAGAAATGTCTCAGAACAGCTTAATCAACAAACGAATGATGTTTGATTATGACATCTCGCATCAAAAAGGTTTAAGACTTTGCAAAAACTTTATACCACACTGATATAATTAATATCTATGACAACACTATATATACTTAGCATTAAAAGTGGTATAACAACTGCCTAAAATACACAAAACACTTCTCGACGTTTCGACCTGAGGGCCTTCGTCAGGAGAGTTAGTATTGAACTAATAGTTAAGCAACATTTGATGCTAGTTATTTAAAGACGCTGCTCAATTTAAACGCGCTATACAGTCCTAGCGGTCATTATAAAAAGCGCTCAAAAGCGTCTCGTTGATTAAATCGCCCGACAACCTCGAAAGGAGAAGACAGCAAGTTCGTTGAAGAAATTAAGGCAAAGTAAGTTAATTGATTATTAGTTCATGCATGCATACTATTTCACTCTTCATTCTTCAACCTTTTCTTGCGACTAAGACTGTTCAAAATTATGATAGAAACCCTTGCTTGGTTTATGATTTGACCTTGCATGGCTTAGAAAAAGCTTTTACGATCACTTATCAAAGATTTCACCATCATATTCGATAGAAGTTATGATTGAAATGTTTACTGTTTTTCTACGGGCATCCCAAAGCAGCACAGTCATATATAGCTATCGCTAAACTGGGAGCTCCCTTCTCATGCACGCGGTTAAAATATTCTTGTAATTGACAGGATATGTGTTATTGGGTAATGCGATAAAGTTTCTGTCTTTAACAAAATATCTGCGGACAGAAATTCGTAAGCAGAAATCAATTGAGTGCAACGTAATCTTTCGAACAGGGTGCTGACAAAATAACATTCTATACGTATACTTTCACCGAAATTTGCAGTAAAGAATACTGTAGAACTGTAGAGTACAAAGTACGAAAACGCTAAAACATAACCATAGGTATTTGTAGGTCGGTTCTAGTTTATCTTGATTTTACCAGAACAAAATTTTCGATTTGTGGTCTTCCTATACATTTCCGAGCCAATGTTTTAGCCATTTATCACGTTGAATACGTTTGTAGAGATGCAGAGTTCACATCTATACAGGAACTTCGATATGTCTTGATTTACAAAAGAACAACCAGAGCAAATTGTAAATATTCGATGATTTTCCCGGCTAAGATTTTGCGGAATTTAGGAATGCGCAGTACACTTTATAGAGCAGAAATGAAAGGTAGTTCAACAAATATGAAAATTTCTACGCCGATAAGCATATTCCGCGATTTCTGCATGGCCATGTTAAGCCGTTCTCCTTGGTATATATAGCCGACCTGCGCAAATTTTTCAGAATATCCAGCAAACTATTGGAAGACTTTGCAATATGAAATGAGACGAAAAGAAAATATGTTCGCATTGACGGAATTTTAAAATGTAAGAAAGATGCAATATTAACAGATCTGCTAATTTTTATTTTCATGCACAATTGATCAGATGCACATAAACAGCTCACCTGATTTTTATAATTACTAAATTTAAACCAGGAGGGGGCAGACTAACTAGATTTGGGCTGCTTTGGTTGAACAATTGGATATCTATGGTCACACTGGATAGATTTTCAATTATATACATGCTTCTGTAGCTCTATAGCGACTGGTTAAAATGGGATTCAAATATGCAGTATCGCTTTTGTTCCTGTTCTTTGTAATGATAAATGTTCATGGAATTAAACAAGGCCGCTTTGGCGGTCTGTACAAAGACCAAGAAAAACAAGTTGATGCTGAAAAAGGTGAGCATCATCTCTTTGCATAGTTGCTGCGTCTGTATAATGGACAACTTCTATTGGGCAGGGATGTCAGAGTATTAGAATCTTTATTTTTATTCCTTGCATGGAGTAGTGGAAAAATACTTAACTGATTTCACTAAAAGAAAAGTGAAAAAAGAAAAAAGCGCGCCAAACCAGAACCCCGTAACAGGATATACAAGCAAGACATGCAGTATGCAGTTCATGAGTATCTTGAATTTCATTTTTTTGGTTTAAATGGTGAAAGTTTTTTTATTGAAATTAAGGTATAGAATAATTGCGTTCTTTATGACAGGCAGTTGACCTAGTACGGATTTTCTGGAAATGAATAACCCGTGGCAAGCATTTATTGACATGATGGAGTTTCATCATGAATATTAATAAATGTTTTTGATATAAAACAAAGTGCAATATATCGAAGTTATCATAATTTCATAAATCCATTCTGCGCAATATGCCTTGACTAATGAATATATAGAATGTAACGCCATGAAACGAAAGGACATCTTTGTACCGGTATCCGAAAAGTTAATTGAATAACTCAATAAAACTCACAATTTTTTATAGAACAAAGTCGTTTTTCGTGTGGCCATGGACCACTTTTAACTGGTTTTTGCCATGCCGGTCCATGTCCATCCCATTTATTTAATTGCGGATGGAAGGACTGCATAGAATCGGGCCAACCGTTTTCAAACTGCTGCTGCTCTTTCGAGTGAATCATGCATAAATAGGTACGGTGGTCTACACTGGATTTTTTTTTCAAAATCCATATTTTGGAAATAGCATTATGGATACAGCATATTTCCATAGTATATATTATATGTGGTGAGGTGAAGGAAAATTTTGATTGTTACAACGTTAACTAACGCTGAATAGATTTTAAGTGCTATGAAGGAAGTGCATCATTTATAGACTAGCCTTTTTTTGTAGTAAGAAAAGTTAGGTAAATATCTTCTGGACATAGGCTGACGTTGAAAATCATACTCTTAATAGGAAGAATAATTTATTTGCTTTCTATTCAACACGCTGTAGCTTAGAGAGTGTAAAAAATATATGCTTGTTTATTTGCAAGATTCGGTAAAATAAGATTTGGTCATCTCAAATAAGATATATCACACTCGGTGGGCTGGGCGGTTTCTATTACAATTGATGCGGAATTGCAAATCTTGTTCAGTAAATGCTGTTTTGATGAAATCAGTGTTAGTGGAGTAATTGACAGTCAGTCTGCTTAATTGTACCAGGGTTCATGAAGCAGCGAAAACCACGGCATAGCGTAAAACTGACTTTATTATAAGATCCTTTGGTTTAACGGCTACCTATTTCACACAATTTTTTCATTAATAATTTAAAATAATTTATTACTTATATAGCGCAAATTAACATGCATTGATATGATCAAATGCATTCATTTGGTAGTTTATCCATTTTGCTCTGTGTTATATCAGAACAGCACAATTTGGAAAATTTGAATTTAAAGGATAATATAACTTTATGTGCGAAAATATAACTGGGGCCTAGTGTACACTAAAATAGCAAGTTTTTGGCTTTGCGACTGTCGCCAATCGTGCAATGTTAAGAAACAGGCCTAGACTATTCAATGTAACCTTCCATATAAACACGATCAGTAGAATAGAAATTTCTATACTTAGTAAATTGTCAGTTGATCAAAAACAGCTAATGAAATAACAATAGTTGCATATTGTAGGTATTCTATAATAAAATAAAATGATTCTTATTTTTGTATCACTATCACCTTCTTTTTTAGCCAAAGCGTGCATAGAGTCGTGAAGAAAAACAGACTATAGTAGTGTAGGATGATTAGTTAAAACATAAGTTGCATGACAAAAAGGGCAGGTATTGTAAACTAGATGAAAAGTATAAGCACAGTTAATTGCTGAATGTAAGCATTGAAGTAATACATGTTCTCACGACATACTGTTTGTGTTTCTTTTTTACCTTGACTGCTCAATGATTGAAGTATGTTATACTACATGGCCAGAAATGCAGGCAGGCAAGCGGTGAGGTATGCGGGCCCATGCAGTTCAGTTTTTCAGTGCATTATTGAGATCAGTGTCGCTTGTATTATAGCAAAGGCTAAAAGAAAATAATGGCGTCCAAAAATCACTTTTTGAACTTCATCGCGTTGGGGAACACATTTACGCGTATTTTTATGCTTCTAAAATGCGATGTGCATAAAGCAATCTTTACGAACCATCTTGGGCGTGAATATTTACCAATGCATGCACACAACAAGCAAAATTGGAGCAGTAAGGTACGTAATATGCCCGAAGTATATACTTTTTTCACACAATTTCAATTCTGGAAAATTAATATTCTTTTCCGGGCGAACATACTTGGGCATCTCATGAGTTACCCTCAATTTTCAGTGTTCAAAGATCGATAAAATTGATGCATTTTTGGATCGTGGACAAAAATGACTTCTTTGTCGTGGGTAATATAAAAAGCAAATTTGAATGATTCTCCCCTCATTTCGTAAGCGCGACGCGATATTGAGTTTCTAAATAAGTGCTATGGTCACGCACGCTTGGCGGCCATATTGACCTGCTTTGCCCCTTAGACTCGTTAGAGCTTTATGCATGTAGTTTTTGGTACAATTAATTATGTAGTTCTGGCCAAAGACTCTGGTATCCTCAGGGGTCGTGGATCCCCATGTTTGACTTCCTCACGGGATTAGCAGCTGCTCCCCAGTGTTGAACTTCGCCCAAGAGGGGTCATAGCTCCCCAGATATGTATCCTAAATGGCCGAAAGGATCGTTGATCCCCATAATGGTCATTGTTGGACCAGGAACTGGTCCCTAACCGCTGCTAATCTTATTTTTTGTTGTTGTTGTTGTTGTTGTTGTTAGGGGGCGACGCTCTTTAAAAAAAACCCTAAGGCTCTATCATTACTTGTTTGATCGGAATGAAACTTGGCACAATTATTCTAAGCAATTATCGTATCGATTGACGGGGTTCGAATTTTTACTTTTGACCTTTGAAGCAAGTTACAAGCAATTCTTGATATATTTGCAGCAAATAATATATACATATCATTAATATTCAGCCTATATATAAGTAAACGCAAACAATTAGAAATACGTTGTCCTCTCCTTTGTTATAAATACAATGCAGTTCAGAAATAAAACTCGGTTACGCAGTTTCTGGTCCACTATAGTACGATCGTACTTGTTTACTTAAGTATAGACAAGAATTCGTGTAGATTTATGCGAGTCTATGGAGTAGAGGGTGACCTTTGGGAGCACTCTATTACCCAGAATCAGTGTTTATTTACAAAAAAATACACTGAACATAATGTTTTCATTAGCTATATGAAGCAAGGTAGAATAGTTCAAAGTTGGGTACTGTTGTACCCGATGTTCTCAAGATGGGCTGTTAGGCAGTCCTCAATGTAACAATATCTACATGAATTTATGTAATCTATTTATTTATCTATTTATTTATTATTATTATTTTTTTCATTTTTTTATTTTCTCCGTGGTTTTATACAAATCAGCAAATTGGTGAAAAAACGCGAAGATGGATGAAAAAGTTTAACATAAATTACCTCTTTGATTTTAAGATATACAATGCGTCGGATCTGTTTTGATAATGCCACAATGTTAACAACATGTCATGCCGGTGAGCCCGTATTGGTTAGGCTGTACTGTTTCTGGCAGCGACCGTTGCTAATTGCCTGCTTTCTAATTGCTTGGAGCTTACGCGTGCAGGATCACGCGGTGTCACGTTTGGTTCTGCAGTAAACAGGTTAGATGGAAAGACTTGCACCGCCTATCGACAGGAATAAACTTGCTCATTAGTAATCTCACAGTGATTCACAATGCATCTAACCGAATGCCTACCAAACTAACTATATTCATGCCCGACGGGGATTGGTAGGGATGGTCCATACCGGATAGAGTGTGAAACTCTGTCACCAGCAAAAGTGAAACGCGTTGATGGAAAAGACTACAGACGCCCACACACACATCCCCGCACTTACGAGTGGAAACCAAACGTAACTCGCGTTCGGCTTTAAGGAGAACTACCTGTACCTGAGACAAATTCAGATGATTTGATCACCAACACAGCGTCCTAAAATAATCCTGAACAAAACCCACACACAAAATGCCGTCCACCCAAACCGTAGATGTTGAGTAGGTGTAATTAGTACCCTTACCGCAGTATTTAGTTCAATGCTAACCTTATAATTTTGGTGCAAGTTTTCTGGGAAAAAATTTCTAAAGAGGTTAATAATTATAATTACTTAAAGGAGGTCGTAGCTTCTGCGCATCTGTTCTGCTCATTATTAGCACGTTTATTACTTTTCTAAACACAGACTTTAGCTTATACTTATTTAGAACTATAGCGAGTCTATAAATCGTGTCAAATATTCTGTGACCCTTCTTGATATTTTTCAATATAGTGATTGAAAATGTAAAACAAGGCGTTTGTTTACAATAGCGGCTATAACCTACTTTACATAGCAGGCTATACGACATTGAGCATCAAATGTGGTATAACAACTGCCTAAAATAGACAAAACACTCCTCGACATTTCGAAATGGACAAATAAGAACGAATTGAATGAATATATAGAACGAGAGTATACTTCTGTGATCACTAGTGGAAAATATCGTCTCATATTCACGGAAATTTTAATAATAATTATTCTATTATCCAGTAGGTGTTTCTTCGCACTAAATGAAGTAACTATGTTGAATTTTTCGTGTGATTAAACAATTATTGGATGAGGTTTTTGTGAGATGCAGAGTTATCAAGGTCGAGGTAAGCGTTATCGGCCGAGCCGGAAGCGAGGCTGATAACACTTACCGGGACCTTGATAACCTTAATAACTTTGCATATCACAAAAACCGATTTCAATAATTGTTTTATTATACATTTGAAGAATAGTAAACGTAGTATTAACGAATGAAAAACCTTATTTAATAGCAACATAATTGATTAATAAATAAATACATCCAAATGATACCGCTTGATAACCACCGCAGGCTCACTTGCAGATAACTTAGTTGTCTGCTAGCAGATAACTGAATTTTGCGTGATTGCGCGATTTATCTGTGAACTATTAGTTAATCAAATTGCTTATACTACTATAATGTATAATAATTATAATTATCCCCAAAGAAGCTATGATTTTAATATGGAAGGAAGAATTGTAGTTCTACAATATCAAATTGTAGTATGTTTATTATTATACAACGCAATTTTTGACTGTGTATATACGTATTTCATTAAACACTAAGTCAACAGGAGTCTCAAATCCATGCAAATTCCAATGGAGAAAACGTCAACACGTCAATCAATTATAGTAAAGACTAAAGTTTACATGTGCTATCTTATATAGCTATATTCGCCAGGGGCGGCGGAACATAATACATTATTATTTTTTCGAATTTCAGTGCTCTAGATCTTCGGAAATGGCCATTTCAGAGTCTTACTTGCCGCTTTTATCGTAGTTTTTCATTGGCAAACACACACTGAAAACGGCGCAGCGCGTGTAGTGATGTCTTCTACATTTGAAAAAGCATCTCTCATGCTTCATTCTGGCATTCTTCATGAAATTTTTGGGGGGGCTAAGCCCCCCCACTTTTACTTCTGGGGGGGATAAAGCCCCCCTAGCCCCCCCCTGTTCCGCCGCCCTTGATATTGGCCAAACGGCTATTGCTGCAGACCTTAAAATCATCCTGACCAGTGTGTGTCATGTTATGAAGAAGATGTTGGAACATCTTTTAATTAAAATATTCATGTCTGTTAATCATCCGATTTAATTTTAAAATTATCTTCATGGACCAGTAAAGTCTTTTGCGCGTCAAAGAGTAAAGATTAATTGTGGAAATGTGCATTATTTATACAGCATTGCGTCTTTATAGCGGACTCGCAGACTTTTCGCCGATTTTTTGCGGGAAAAATTTACAAAATGTGTAATATTGTGGCAATTAAAGGAAATTAATGCGCGCTGAATGTTTTCATGTACAGTTATTATATGCGTATAATTGATTCGTGCGACATATACATATATTTATTGCCTTAAAGCTTTTCATCGCTTAACCCGAGTCTTCACACAAAACACAAAATTCATATATGTATGTATATAGTATAAAATAATATGACTTAGTTAGTTTAATCTTGTATTTATAACAGGTTGGAGACAACAAGTCTATTCTTCAACTGGTGCACTTTAAACGATAATGATCAATTTTTAAATACCGGATGTCTTAGTTTGTTCTTACGCATGCATGCATTCAGTTACAATCATGACTATGTTTCTAATAGTTTGTTCGGTCATTTTCATTTTGCAAATTCCACAGCCTGTTCAAGGCAGAGAAGAAGCATTGTTTCGAAAACAAACCAAGAAATACTTGGCGAATAATGTCATAGAGACGAAACAGGCAGGAAGCGAGTTTGAATGCGGCATGTATTGCCTGAGAAGAGAATCGTGTGCGTCGGCCAATTACAAAACCTCAGGAATCGGGAAAGGTCGATGTGAGCTCAACGCTAAGACACTTCAAGAAAAAACCGATGTTAATGAACAAGCGAACCCTGAATTCAACCACCTTGTCATTGTTCAAAAGGTAAAAAAAAGCATTGAAATATATATATATATATATATATATATATATATATATATATATATATATATATATATATATATATGCATGAAGATGGTACTAGGGAATAGGGATGATTTGTAGTAGGATATGACACCGAGTGGCAGCCCGCCATGGCAAGCAGAAAATTCTACTTGACCACGGCAGGATTTGAATTCGCGGCCTTCGGTATACTAGTCCGGTGCTCTGCCAACTGAGCTATATATATATATATATATATATATATATATATATATATATATATATATATATATATATATATATATATATATAGCGGAAATTCGATTTTCATCGAAATATTCTAATTAATAGAATATTGAAATATTACCCCGAAAAAAATATATATTCGAGGGCTTTAACAGAAATTGGTGTAAAGACCATTGTTAAATTAATCAATTTGTCTTTCACATAACACCCTATTAGCTAAGCGTCATTTCGTTGGAAAATGAAAGAATATTGATTTGATAAAAAAGTTTAAAAAAATCACATTTTCCCGCTGATGGAAATATAGGATTATATAAAACACCGCGGAGGCCACAAATTTTAGTCAGTCTTTGGATTTGATTCTGTGTTTTGCTCAATTGTTTTTAGACAGAATTACATCCTACTTCAGGAAGCTCGCTGACACAGGACAGGAAAACAAGTAAGCCTCAGGAAATTAACACCAATGTCATACTACAAAGAAGCAATTTGTGTGTGACAAAACCAACTTGTACACTTTATTATAGCGCCTATTTGCTAACAGACACCTTCAGGTCAAGTTTGAAATTTTCAAATATGGCTTAAAAGATACAGTATATGAAGTCACTCATTTTAAGCCTTCGGAAACGTTCAAAACCGCATTTCAAGGCCAGTTACAAGCAGACTTGACTAGGCGCAGATGTTTTTTTGCGGCGTCTGGTTCATGCATGACTTATTTTTGCAACTTCAGTCAGATGTCAGGGTGTAGGCTAATTCCTAATCTGTCAGCGGAATTAGTACCTTACTGCAGTATTTAGTCCAATGCAACCTTACAATTTTGTTGTTTATATAACTTATATTAGGTTTCCTGGGAAAAAATAAATTCCTAAAGATATTAATAATTGTAATTACTTAGGGGAGGTCATGGCTTCTGCGCATCTGCTCTGCTCATAACAATAAGTGCATGCACTACTTGATTTAAAATTGCTTAAATTTAGCACGTTTTTTACTGTTCTGAACATAAACTTTAGCTTATACTTATTTAGAACTAAAGCGAAGAAAAATAGTGCGAGATATTCTGTGACTCTTCTTGATATTTGAAAATGTAAACAAGGCGTTTGTTTACATTAGCGATTTTAACCTACTTTACATAGCAGGTCTATAAATCGTAGATCGTAAGGCGGCATGGCTATACGACACTTATTTCTTTTCATATAATTTTAGCAACAGCTCCCACATGTTCGATTGCAAATTGGATGGAAATTTCTTATCAGACGGGCTGGTTAAGATGTGGCAAAGAAAATCTTTTTATTACAGGGCTATTACGAAATCCCCCCTACCGTCTTGACAATGACCCCATCATTTTACTTGAAGAAGCAAGATGTTGTAATTCGACTTCAGCGTACAGCGGTCAGAATGGAGTCTGTAAACAAGCAGATTGGGTGCGCTCTCTGGACGTGTACGTATCTAAAATTATATGTACAACAATATAGAGGTTGAAAGGGTCTTAATTTCGAGTGGAATTATACACACTTCAATTCAAGCCACGAAAGGTTGATAGAAAAAGGGGTCATAAAATAGTTGACTCATTTTTCCATCAACTGTTCCAGGCTGGATTTGAAATGTGTATAATTCCACTCGAAATTAAAACCCTTTCAACCTCTAGAATTTATTTGCATCGAGTGAAGTGCTAAAAATCATAATTGATGTACAACAATATAATATTTTGATGATAATATTCTTCAAATTTCAGTGGCATGGTAAATAAATATTTAAAACATCAACGTGTAGAAAACAGCATATTTTTTCGTTATATGCAGACGTTGACCGAAAACTTTGATGATCTAAATATAATTTCTGTAGTATAATTTGCCGTACCGGAAATAAATTAGTAGGTGCAGTTCTATCAACCAGATGCTTTAAGGTTACATTTTACTTGGTGTTGTGTGTGCGACCAGCCAGCCACTTGTCTCAGGAGTGTTTAGGCCGCGTTTAAGTAGAAAAATAAAAAACAATAAGCAGTTTAAAGAATAAGCGCAGCAAGTTAACATCATGGATAAATAGATTGAAAATGCAGTGGTAGAAGCAATGGAGAAGTGGTACCCAAAAAATACTAGGGATATAATTTTATTAAACATCATTGAGAAAGCTTGGATGAGCCGGAAGTTGATGAAATACGATCGCGGTTGTCGTTCGCTTCCGAATGGAATGTTATGAACAGCTGAGAACGACAACACAATAATCATATCGAAAGCATCTTAAGAAATATCTGTCAGTCCGAGTATAAGCCCCCGGTATGACCTCGGTTCAACCGCGACAGACCGAGGTTTGGCCTAGATTAACCGCGGTTTTTGTTATATTATTTCTGCACGTACAGTATTGTAAATAAACGCAACACTAATCTTTTCAGTATTTTTTAGTAAAGATTATTCGTTTACAATTTAACAAATATATAACATTACACGGTATGACGTCATTTGTGATTAGAACAAATCAAGTGGCCATGAGCCGCCGGAAGAGTATCTGCAACTGAACAGACAACGGTTCGATGTTATCTATTTGTTTTATATAATAAGATCAAAAAATATCCTAAATCAAACAGGCTAATAGTTTCCCGAACACTTGGAAAATTGTCAAAGTAAAAATTTTGCAAATTTTGTCCCCTTAAAGATCATGGCTCTGGACCAATGACATTGGTTGAGTTTTTGACGTTATTATATAAAATATCATACATACTTGTTATGCACTTACCGCTCAGGCTCAGATTAAAATGTAACCCACTTGGCAGATTTATATGTATCAGCCAAGACAGGCACGCGTGTTACTCTCCTGTAAATTAAACCATTTAATCACCGTGATAATTTCCAACATTATTCACCACAGGAACAACGCTTGGAGCAACTGCCCAGAGGGTTACTTTTTAAACGGGTTATATCGCAGTGCGGGCAATTATTTACATCGCATCGAATATGGCCATTGCTGTAAACCTAACAATCATACTGACCAGTATGGATCATGTTATGAAGAGGATGTTGGAACATCTTTTGATCAAAAAGGATGGTCAAACTGTTCTCAGCCTGGACATTACATCACTGGACTCTATCGTGGAAATGGTGATTGGCTGAACAATATCGACAAATTTCGATGCTGTCAAATGGTTGCTATCTAACTAGTAACTTCTTGAATGTTGGCACAAAGTATCATTATCAACTATTATGCTATCTGTAATGGTAGGGGATGACACTGGGTAATATACTGTAGCATTCGGCGGTTTGTTAAGATAGAAGGTAGCGGAAATGAGCTTCGAAAGATATATTACGATAGAAACGCAGATCCTTTAAAGGTAGGATGCAGGGCGCATCCGTTATGCTCATAACAATGCATGGGTAGACTACTTGATTTAAAATTGCTGAAATCTAGCACCATTATTACTAATCTGAAAATACAACCGAGTTTATACTCTAGAACTATGGGGAACCAAAATAATTTGAAATATGTAAACAAGGGGTTTGTTTAAATTCATTTGGCGAGTGTAACCTACCTTTAAAAGATCGAGATGCAGATGATTTCAGAATTGAAACATATGCACCAACTTTTATTGATTTGAAGATGGTCGAAAGTAGAAGCTTTGATCAGTTATCAATTATTTTTTGGGGAAAAGGCGTAGCTATAGAACAAGAATATACTTCTGTGATCACTGGGTAAAAATATCGTTTCATATTACGGAACTTAATAACATTTATTTATTTGTCCTCTAGGAAGTTGGGTCGCACAAAAAAGTAACTATGTTGCATTTTTCGTGCTAGTTATAATTATCCCCAAAGGGTCAATGATTTTAATATCGCAGGAAGGATTGTAGTTCTACAATATACTTACTCAAATTGTAATATATAAAGTATTATAATATACCATGCATTTTTGGCTGTGTCATAGATTTCATCAAACACCAAGTCAATATGAATCTCAAATCCATACATATTCCAATAGAAAAAAACGTCGACACGTCAATCTATTATAATAAAGTTTACATATGCTATTGGAATGAACTTTTATTGGAATGAACTCAGTCCAACACAAAATTTATGAAGTATATGACCTTTTATATCATGCAGAAATTAAAGGATCCTGAGCATTACGCAGGAAAGCACAAACTGCCCACATAAAGTTTGCAACTCCAATCAGATTGAGAGGAAATCTCCTTTCCAGATCCTGAAGTTTTTTATAGTACGTTCTATACGATTTCTGACACTAGCAATAGATTGAGTTTTAACGACATCTTCTGCAGACATCTGAGTATTTTGACCAAGGAATGGGGGATTCAGTGAAACTCCCAAAGGCAAAAGATCTTCAATTGTAAAGCCCTTTTTAGCCATTACATTGTCTCCAGATTCGAATGCCTGATTTAACGGACACTTCGAATAACAATTTCCCTGTCTAATATGTTTCCTTAATGAAGTTCACTTATGAATCTAATTGCACCACAAGGAGCAATAGCAAGTAAGGTTTTAAATGTTTTGTGGTTTTTATACGAACTAAAGAGTTTAGTATTAACTAGTAAGCTGCTTGGCATGTCAACTCTGATATCTGTGCAACCTATGAGTCTGAGTATCCTTATGGAATCAGAATTCTTCTGACTTATGTTGGCTTCAAGTTCGATGACTTTTTCTTCGAGAGCACAGTTAATGGATTTAGGCTTTTTTATTTATTCTCTTGATTACTCTCTTGACAAATCTTCGACTTCGACTGACTTCTACTGCACAGCATTACCAGCCACAGTATTAGCAGTTGAGTCGGATGTTTGCTGATCTTCAGGTGTTGCTCTTTCACTTGACCAGCTGAATTTATTTGGGACACAACCTTTCTTCGACGTTACTATTCCATTAACAGACTTGTTCAACTCAGTTTGCTTAAAGTGCTGACTGTGCTGTGAACATAATTTGATTAATTTCGCGCTAGGTGTCAAATTAAAGCTTTTTCCCTGGTCTCGTCGTATGGCTCTGATCCATTCCTTTTTAAGTTCTTCCGATTTGGGGATATTGAAACACAATATCTTCTCTCCAACAGTCGAACGATATCCTTTAGATCTGCATTGAGGAACATAGCGACTTAATGGCATTTTAACTCTTTTTGGCTGTGTTTCTCAGAAAAATATTTTTTATACAAATTATGCAATATGGTGTCTGACCAACGGGCCTCGTCTTGATACGACTCGTTTCCAGGCTCCTAGCGCAAGTGAGGCATTATGCATAGCGTGAATAGATGATCGCTGAAAATAGTAAGGAAGTTTAATGGTCATTTCCAGACTAAAAAATAATATTGTATGGAAACAGTTAGGTATAGAATATTTCCATTGAAAAGATTTTGAAAAAAATTCCTGCGCTAAACTATTTTGTGTATATTTCAAAACCATTTTTTTCATTTCATACATATATATCTTTAGGCATATGTGGTGAGGTGAAGGAAAATTTTTAATTGTTTTTTTTTAAGTGTATTATTCATACCAATGCATGGAACCAAGAGAAATGGCTGGGGCTCGCTTAGCTATTTCTTTATCGTAAGAAAATTTGGGTAAATATTTTCTGGACAAAAGGTAACGTTTAAAATCATATTGTTTTAAAACAGGAAGAATAATTTACCTAATGTCTATTCAACATACTGTAGCTTAGAGAGTGTAAAAAATTATATGTTAAATACTTAAGAAATTAGGTTTGGTAAAGTAAGAATTGGTCATCTCAAAGTAGGGTAACTCTCCCAAACAGGAAGCTATTGCAGAATTGCGATTTTCAAAACCTACGAATGTGCATGTCTCAAGGAAGACTAGCACTTCGCCTGAGATATGTCACATACCACTCAGTGTTATGTAACATATGTCATATAACACTAATTGAATACTGTTTTTGAGCCAAACCGTAGCAGTTAAGAGGTGACTGGCAGGGAGGGAAGGTGAGGGCAAGGAGGGAAGGTGAGGGCAAGGAGGGAAGGTGAGGGCAGGGAAGGAAGGTGGGGCGGAGGGGTGCCATGCAGGTCTTGCGAGCATTTGCTCAATATTAACTTCGCTTATCACAAATGCGTAAGTTGGTTAACCATCCCACAGCTAAGACCGCGTTTTAGCAAGTAATGCGCAACTGCTAGCCGTAACCACGTTATATCCGCCGTGTAAGCGCAAAGTTCTAGATATTTCATTCTGGTGTTGTTGCGCATAAATACTAGCCAAATTCTCAGTTTAGTCCAGTTGATAAGTTGATAACGTGGACCCTTGGGAGTAAGCAACTTTGTACTGGAAACGCCATGGTACTTTTATAAGAGCTAAACCAGTATCTATCCACGTTGGAACTCATTATACAGTACTGCTCAGAGGTGACCTAATGCGACGAACGCGTCCAGAACGCGTTCCCGAACGCGTTCCGAAATGCGTTCCGAACTTCCGAACGCGTTCCAGAGTTTTCACTTAGACGCTTCGTGTGCCTTCGGAAATTCCGAAGAAATTATCGAACAGCTAGTCAATATGCTTATGCTACGGTTCGTTAATTCCGCTTTTAGCTTGCGAGACAAGCTCTATTTTATTTTGCGTAAAAATAAGCGCATGTGTGACTTGTGTGTCTCATTTGAAAATGATAGTAATATGTATGTGTAGCTTAACCAAAGCCAGTATTTGGCTGGGAAAACGCTGTTAAGATTAGATGACTCTTATCACCGTTTTTGATCAAAGAAACTTTCGGTTGTTAAACTATTGTTTTTAGCTGCGCCCTGCTGACTCTGCCGACGGAAATCCTAAGGAGGATACGTTGAAAATTTTCCTATAATACCGGTACAATCTATTTTCTAAATAATACCGGTACAATCCTATTAGTCAATGAAAATACAGCTATAAGAAGTTATGAGTTTCCCAGTATATTATATTATATTTTTGTTTAGTATACTTACTTGTATCTATAAGTATTTTAGTTTTTCTAGTCACTATTTCAATTATTAATTTTCGCAAGAAAACGTGAACTATTGACTATTGTACCGTAACTTTACCGCGTCTAAAATTTTAGAATACGCGAACACAAAAACACTTCGGAGTCATGCAAATTGTCTGTATTGGTTTCCTTAATCATTTTCGAAGTTACTGTGTTTTGTAGTTGCAGATTTAGAGTAAAAATAAATTACACGGGCTAATTTCAAATTCAAAATACCTTCATAAAAACGCTATAAAGTATTCCAAAGAATACTTTTTGTAAATTTGAACTGCAGTCCTGTATATTTATTCTGACTTATACACTAGATCCGTCACTCATGATCTCGGTAAACCGATTACCGCTTTTCAATTTCTTTCCGGCTCCAGATGTTTGGGGAATAAATTTATAAAGCACCGAGTTTTCAATTGTGTCTTATTGTATAACAGGTTGGAGACGGCCAGTCTATTCTTTAACAGGTGCACTTTTAACGATAATGATTAATTTTTAAATACAGAATATCTTAGTTTTGTTCGTACGCATTAGTTACAATGACTACGTTTCTAATCGTTTCTTTGTTCCTTTTCATTTTGCAAATACCACAGCCTGTTCAAGGCAGAAAAGAAGCATCACTAGCATTGTTTCGAAAACACGCCAATAAATACTTGGCGAATAATGTCATAGAGACGAAACAGGCAGCAAGCGAGTCTGAATGCGGCATGTATTGCCTGAGGAAAGAATCGTGTGCGTCAGCCAATTACAAAACCTCAGGAATCGGGAAAGGTCGATGTGAGCTCAACGCTAAGACACTTCAAGAAACATCCGATGTTGATGAACAAACGAATCCTGAATTCAACCACCTTGTTATTGTTCAAAAGGTACAAAATTCAATTTCATCGAAATATTTTCATTAATAGATTGGAATTCAACAAATATTACCCCGAAATAAGATATATAGTCGGGGGCTTTAACAGAGAAAGTATAAAGCTTATCAAATACCGCGAACGGAAGGTCTTATAATACAAAGCTATTTTTCTAATCAGCCCGGTGCCACGAATTTTAACATCCCCATCCATTATACTGCAGTGTGCATAAAAAAAATTAGAATCCAAATTTGGTGTGTATTTAAGTAGAATATATGTGAAAACGTCATTCCATTAGAAATTTAACGAATGGTGGTAAATTCACCACTGTTAAATTCATCAAGTTGTCTTTCACATAACATGCATGTAGCTACGCGTCACTCCGTTGGAAAGTGAACAAATATCTGTTTAATAAAATGCTAAAAAAAATCATTTCCTGCCGATAGAAATATATACGACTGTAAAACACCGGGGACGCCACAAATTTTACTCAGTCTTTGGATTAGCTTATTTGTTTAATTTGCTCATTTGTTTTTAGACACCATTAAATCCTACTTCAGGAGGCTCGCTGACACAGGACAGGCAAACAAGTAAGCCTCAGGAAATTCACACCAATGTTGTACTAAAAAGAAGAAATTTGTGTTTGGCAAAACCAACTTGTACAAACTATTATGGTGCCTATATATTTGCTAACAGTCACCTTCAGGTTAAGTTCAAAATTTGCAAATACGGCTTGGAAGATACAGTATATTATGAAGTCTTTTGGGGAAAAAATTCTAAAAATATTAATAATTATAATTAGTTACTGGAGGCGGTGGCTTCTGCGCATCTGTTTTCCTCATAACAATAAATACATGAACTACTTGATTTGAAATATTGCTGAAATTTAACACGTTTATTACTTTTCTGAACACATGCAAACTTTAGCTTATGCTTATTTAGAACTTTAGCGAACAAAAATAGTGTCAAATATTCTGTGACCGATCTTGATATTTTTATCAATATAGTGAGTGAAAAGGTAAAACAAGGCGTAACCTATCTTTCATAGCCGGACTAAATCGTAAAGCTGGCTATACGTACGATACTGACGTTTTTTTTCATAAAATTTTAGCAACAGCTCCTACATGCTCGATTGGAAAATGGATGCAAAGTTTTGATCGAAAGGGCTGGTCAACATGTGCCAAAGAAAATCGTTTTATTACAGGGTTATTACGATCGCGAAACCCCCCCAAATATTTTTTCTTTTCTTTCCATTCTGATCCTATCACTTTACTTGAAGAAGCAAGCTGTTGCGACTCTACTTCAGCGTACAGCGGTCAGAATGGAGTGTGTAAAGAAGCAAATTGGTCTTTCTCTCTGGACATGTACGTAGCTAAAAGTTTGCACGTATCTAAATATAATTTGATCATAATATTCTTCAAATTTCAGTGGCATGGTAAATAAATATTTAAAACATCAACGAGCAGAAAACACCACGTGCACTTGTTACATGCAGATGTTGATGGTCCGTTGACCGAAAACTTTGCAAGACATGAATACACGCACTGTTATCTACAAGTTTATGATTTAAATATAATTTGATTAGCGTACCGGCAATAAATTAGTTGGTGCAGTTCTGTCAACCATATTCTTTAATTGATGTTGTGTGTGCGACCAGCTAGCCACGTGTTTCAGGATTGTTTAGGCCGCGTTTAAGTAGAAAAATAAGAAACAATAAGCAGTTTTTTTAACTGAGCGCAGCAAGTTAACTGCGGGGTAAATAGATTGGAAAAAATGTCGCTAGAATATAAATCTACATCGAGAGAAATTTTAATTCAAAAAGGAAAAGCATGCAGTGGTACAAGCAATGGCGAAGTCATACACAGAAGATACTAGGGATATATTAAGCATTATTGCATGAAAAATCTTGGATGCGCCGGTGTTTAAAGAAAAATCAGAAAAAATGTATTGTTTACTTTTGTTTACTTCACACTGATATATAATAAATATATGCATTTGATTTGAACAAAATAGTTGTTGCTGTTTTTAAAGTTAAAATTAGGTTGCACATCGGCAAGTGCACTATTGACGTAAAACAGTGAGTCTAGAGTGGTGTTGGTTATGAGTTTTATACTTCACTATGTATTCTAGGATATAGGAATTACACTACACGTATAAATGTAAATAAATACACGCAACCCTACAATCTTTTCAGTATTTTTTGGTGAAGATTATTCGTTTACCATTTAAAGACATATATAACATTGAACCGTTGTCTGTTCAGTTCTAGATACACGGTATGATGTCATTTGCTATGATAAATAAATTAAAAAGTGGCGACGAGCCGCCGGGGCGAGTATCTATAACTGAACAGCAAGGGTTCAATGTTATCGATTTGTTTGATATACTAAAATCCTAAATTAAACAGCCAAATATAGTTTCCCCAAAAGTTGGAAAATTGTCAAAGTAAAAAAATTGCAGATATCAGGCGTACAGCCGTACATCATCTAAATGTTTGAAGAAATGCTATTGGCTAGCTTAAGACAAGTGTTAAAATACGATTAGCTAACAAAATAAAACAATAGATGACTATTTAAAGTCGTAAAATGATCTGTGACGTCATTTCTTCTCCGCCTGTCCTCTTATAGATGATGCCTCTCGACCAATGAAATTTGTTTCTCGATTAATGAAATTGGTTGAGTTCTTAACGTTATTATATAAAATATTATACATACTTGTTATGCACTTACCGCATAAATTTAACTTAACTTAAATTCAACTCACTCGGCAGATTTATATATATTGGCCAAGACAGGCACGCGTGTTACTCTCATGTAAATTAAACGATTTAATTATACCGCGATTATTTTCTACATTATTCATTACAGGAACAATGCTTGGAACAACTGCCCAGAGGGTTACTTTTTAAACGGATTATATCGCAGTGCGGGCCATAATTTACATAACATTGAACATGGCCATTGCTGTAAACCTAATAATCATCCTGCCCAGTATGGATCATGTTATGAAGAAGATGTTGGAACATCTTTTAATCAAGCAGGATGGTCAAACTGTTCTCAGCCTGGACATTACATCGCTGGACTCTATCGTGGAAATGGTAACTGGCTGAACAATATCGACAAATTTCGATGCTGTCAAATGGTTGCTATCTAACTAGTAACTTCTTGAATGTTGGCACAAATTAGCATTATCAACTAGTATGCCATACGTAATAGTATGGGATGCCACTGGGTAATATACTGTAGCATTCAGCGGTTTGTTAAGAAAGAAGGTAGCGGCAATTAGCTTCTAAAGATATATTGGGATAGAGACGCAAACACCTTAAAGGATAGGGCACAGGTCGCATATGTTATGCTCATAACAATGGGTTGACTACTTCTTTTCAAATTGCTGAAATTTAGCACGTTCATTACCAATATATATATATATATATATATATATATATATATATATATATATATATATATATATATATATATATATATATATATATATATATATACACCCGTTTGCAAAAACGTTGGCCGCAGATAGATATATAGATAGATACCCGAAGTCTAATTAGAATTGCATATGTTGTGTAATATGATTGAAATCCCATGCAAATGTATTCATGTACAATTCTAATTAGACTTCGAGTATCTATCTATCTATCTATCTGCGGCCAACGTTTTTGCAAATGGGTGTATATATATATATATATATATATATATATATATATATATATATATATATATATATATATTTATATATATATATATATATGTTGCGTTTTTCGGCTATTACAATTATCCCGAAAGAATCAATGATTTTAATATAGAAGAAAAGATGGTAGTTCTACAACATATATACACTCAAATTGTAATATATATAGTATATACGGCCTACATGCAATTTTTGGCTGTGTTATATACGTATTTCATTAAAGACTAAGTCAACATGAAACTCTCTATATCTCTATCATTTTGCTCTGATAGCATCCATGCAAATTCCATTGGAGAAAACTTCGACACGTAAATCAATTATAATAAAGTTTAGATGTGCTATCTTATCTATATTGGTTATCCTGACCAGTATGAGTCATGTTATGAAGAAGATGTTGGAACATCTTTTGATAAGAAAGGATGGCGAAACTGTTCTCAAACTTGGATCACGTCACTGGAAATTTATTGTGGAAATGGTAATTAGCTGAACAATATCGATGAATTTCGATTCTGTCAAACGGTTGCTATCTAACTCTTAACATGAGTGTTTCTAAAAATTAGCAGTAGCTGTGATGTTAAAGAATTGCATTGGTTAATATCACTCGAATTTTTTTTAAAATACCGAATTTTTTTTAAAATACATACTATGGAAATGGCAACTAGTATGGATATCAAGTGAATTAGCTTGTAGGTACACCACTTCAAGAAAGAAAATAAAAAATCGTAGCTATGTTGCTCGGGGGAGGTTTATACTCGGTTAATCTTTGGAAATCAAAATTAATCTTTAGGGAAACAGGGGATAGATAGGGTGAATTAGGGGTATATGAGTACAAAAGGACTTAATAATTGGGCGGCCTCAGCTCCCGGGGCGAGGGGAAGGGTATAGGTGAGAAAACACTATATAAAACGTTCAAGTCTTTTTGTACTCATTTAAACCTCTTTCCCCTATTCATCCTTCTATTTACTCCTATTTATCCCAATTTTTTCCTATCCTCATGCGTCTCTAACTATCCCCTAACACAAGTTTGAAGAAAGCTTGCTTTGAAAGTCAGAAAAGGCGGGGGAAAGACAACCCCCCTCAGTCTACTCCTCGCCCAAGGCGAGGGCATATTCGCCCGCTCGCTCTACTCCTCTCACACTCACAAATTCTCAATCTATTACCTTTCTCTTTTTCCGCTTATCCAGGACTTGAAGCATCGACTGTATACTTGGCAGATCACCGTCTTCACCACTACACCACCTGTTCTTGTACTGAAAACCTACAGTTTTTTATTCTACTTAATCCTTTTTTGGAAGGATCTTTGACAAAACTTAATACCTTTTGGTAGGATCTCAAATAAAATAACAATTTAAATAAGTTCACTTCAATGTTCATGATTTATTTTCTCAAATCTCACAAACGGTATCTTATTCGTAGCTTGTAACTTAATATTAGCCATTTTTGTTGTCGCTAAAATATCACATACCGGTATGCAGTGTCTTAAGCACCATCTTTCCATAAGTTGGTTATATGCGGCCCAAGTGAAGCTAATGGTTACGGCGCGATTATTTTGTATTTTTAATGAAGTTAAGTCAAAGTAAATACAAGAATTAACAATGTATTTCAAAATTGGTTTAAGGAAAAAAAGTACAAGAATTAAAAATAGCCGATTACTCGTCTTACTGAGACTGGAAAGTTGATTGCCCTAAAGCCCGTCTGAATGTGAATTGGGATGTGGAAAATTTATGCGTATGATGCGTAATCTTTACAAGAATAATTGTTTTTATTTTCCTTAGCCTTGTTCCGTCGTTGACCGTTTTATGTTCCTTTTATTTTAATCGTACTATAACATTATTGTAACAACGTACATCAATCGTATATCCGCCATCTTGCTTTCTACTTCCCCCCTCTCTCTCCCAGTCCTCCGACCGTGAACACAACATCTCTCCCCAACTTGGATTAAAACTATACAGATCTAACGAACTGTTTTAACTATAACATTAACGCGTCACCGTGTCCGACTTATTAAGGTTTTTAACTTAAAACTACTTCTCAGTCTAACGAAGTTCTTGACTCCCAGTTTATTGCTACTGTCCTTAGTTCCGGCTAGCAAAGTAGCCCGTGAGGCTTCGCACAAAGTCTCTCAAATACGACGGCGATCGAACCTGCCTAGCAGGCCTGCTGTGGGGTTGAATTAATTCCTGGTCATTCGGACCCCCATCCATTTCAGATCTGTCATCCCCTTGCTCGGAACCATTACCCTCTGTAACGTCCACTGGTTCTTGTTCACAAACTTCGTCGATATCATCCTCTTCTTCTTCTCTAGTAATGTCTGGAATCTTGTGAACCATGGAAACATTGCGTATTACTGGAGTCTCATCCTTTCGCTGTAGAATAACACTCGGACCTCTTCTTTCCACAACCGCGTATGGACGACAATCATACCGGGTGGAAAGTTTATGTTCCCGTCTTTGTCGTAGCAACACTTTGTCACCAACCTTGATCACTGCCGCTTTTGCTCTTTTCTTTTCATCTGTATATATTGCCATTTTTTGCTTCACTTTGGCATCGGAGGAATGCGCGCTTTCAAGTGCTGATGCAAGGATGTCCGATGCTGGAACTTTCGCCTGAGGCACTTTGGTACGAATTTCGCGACCGAGATGCAGCAACGCCGGAGAGGCACCAGTTGTTGCATGTGGTGTCGCTCTGTAGTTTAGGAGAAAGATGTCCAGCTCTTTACGCCAATTCTTCCCCTCTACATGCGCCCCACGAATGGCTTTTTCCACTGTGCGGTTGAATCTTTCCACTTGCGCGTTGGCCTGTGGCCAGTACGGTGTGATTTTGCGGTGTTTTATACCGTGATCCCTCGAAAAAGTTTCGAACTCTTCCGAAACGAACTGCGGACCATTGTCCGACACCATCGTAATAGGTATGCCTTGTGCTGCAAAAATTTTTTTGAGATGACCAATTATGACCGTCGACGTTGTGGTTTTCAGGATTATTACTTCTGGCCATCGTGTACACGCATCTTCGCACACCAACAAACTTTCTCCCGTTGGAAAGGGACCACACAGGTCAATATGCACATCTTGCCATGGCTTGTCTGGCATAGGCGTTGGTCTTAGGGGCTCTGGCACTGCTTTTGGAGCCATCGATTGACACGGCAAACAGGATGTAACCATTGTTTCAATTTCTCGGTCGATCCCCGGCCACCACACTTTCTCTCGTACCATCTGCTTTGTGCGAACGACACCTTGATGACCTTGATGAGCACTTTGTAAGATGTTTTGTCGTAGGCACTCTGGTGGCACTATTCTTGACCCACGCAGTACCAGTTCTTGTGATGCGGAAAGTTCATCTTTGAGCCTTTCAAATGGCCGGAGCTTCTCATCGTTTGGCCATTTACCCGACACTAACGATTTTCTCACCTGCTGAAGAACAGTGTCTTTTTGTGTAGCAGCCGATATCTGTTCTCGTGTAAATGCCTTTGGAACTGCCCTCTCTGCGACATAATTAATGTATTCTTCTGCAATGCATGTCTCTCGCGACGGTTGGTTGGTCAACGGCATCCGTGATAGTATGTCAGCTGGATTCTGCTGCCCCGGCATATGGTGTATGGTAAATCGGTACGGCTGGAGACGAAGAGACCATCTTTCAATCCATGGTGGAGGCTTTGATTTCGGGCTTAAGATTACCTTAAGCGCTTTTTGGTCAGTGTATAATTTAAACTGCTGACCATACAAGTAAATGTGGAACCGTTCGCATGCCCAAACTACAGCCAAGGCCTCCCTCTCTGTCTGAGAGTAGCGCCTCTCTACCTCGGTTAAAGTGCGGCTAGCAAAAGCAATTGGACGTACATCTTGGCCACTTCCTTGTAATAGGACTGCCCCAGGCCAAAAGGACTAGCATCAACTTTAAGCTGTGTCTCTGCAGATGGATCGTAGTGGGACATCACACAGTCACTAGTTAGCATGGACTTCACCTTTTCGAATGCTCTCTGATGAACGGGAGCCCAGGACCATTTGACCCCGGTCCTGGTTAGCTGGCGTAGTGGCTCCACGATGGTTGCAAAATGTAGTATGTAGCGGGCACAGTAGTTTGCAAGTCCAAGAAAACTTCTCAGCTCAGAAACGTTCCGTGGTGCACGAGCTTGCTTGACAGCTTAAACTTTCTTTTCATCCGGAGAAATTCCGGCTGCAGAAACTTTGTGGCCGAAAAATACAAGCTCTGGAACTCCAAACACGCATTTCTCACGATTTAGGGTCAGACCCTTCTCTCTAAGACGACTGAGAGTTAATTCGAGCTGCTGGTCATGACTTTCTTGATTCTTGCCAAATACGATGATATCATCTGAGATATTTCGAGCACCAGGAATACCCTGCAAGACTTGCTGGATGACATATTGGTAGATTTCCGAAGCGGATGATAACCTAAAAATCAAACGCTTGTATCGCTTTAGCCCCATATGAGTGGAAAATGTGGTTAGCACTCTTAAATCTTACTATCCCAAATCTTACTATCTTTCCGTACATGGAATGGGGTACGTCGTAATGGTTGGGCAACAGGTATCACCGTGGGATTTGTGTGAATGAGTAACTGGTAATCCGATAGTTTTCCAACCCCGTCAAATACTTTGGAATGGTTGGCAAGAATTTTGGCTATGCCGCTGGAAGGTGCCATGTAATTAACTTCAGTTCTAGAAGTGGGTGGTCCCACCCGGAGGAGATTGAGTTCTGTAGCTGTTTTTTCACCTAAGAATGAACCACTTTGGTTGCTCTGGGCCACCACAAACTCTGGCAGGGTGCTCTTTTTGCTATACTCGGAAGATACTGTAATAGTGAATGATCCCTTTACTGGAAGAGGTGTCTTGGAAACATACGGGTACACACGAACACAAGAAGCCTGGAGCTTTATCGGAAATATGGCATTTGAGTTTACTGTAAAGGCTTTTGCAACCCGTGAAAGGTAATTATGGAAAACGCTAGTAAAATATGAGAAATATTTTTAGGAAGTTTTCGAGGTGCTCGTATGACATAACTTCAAAAACTTCCCACTTCCCATATAGTTTGCAATGTTTTTTTAGTTATTTTTGCATGCGTGTCGCAGTTATTCAGTTTAAAAAAATGCATTCACCCGCAAATTTCATCTTGCAATACAAAAATACTGTATACAAAATTTCGTAATTAAACTTTGCAATTATATTAATTTTAGTACGTCTTTCTATGCCTTAAGCTTTGTTGCCAGATCTGAAATTACCTCATAACGCATTAGGACAATGAAAGCAGCATTCGAGGACAGTAAAGAAGTGGTTGTATAATAATATCCCGTCCCCACTGAAGGTCGTTTATTCACGTTTGTTTATAGCCCAGCAATGACATTTTGAAGCATTTATAACACTGCCTTTAATGTTAAGTTGCATTGCCGTTTGCAACACATCCTTTATTGGTTTTATAACAAAGTTTATCGGCAACGCAAATTTCAATTTTGGCATGGCATTTGAGTTTACTGTGAAGGCTTTTTACAACCCGTGAATGGTAAGTATGTAAAACGCTATTAAAATATGATCATTAAATATTTTTAGGAAGTTTTCAAGGTGCATGACATAACTTTAAAAACTTCCCAGTTTCCATATGATTGTACAATACATTTTTAGTTATTTTGCAGGCATGCCGCAGTTATTCAGCTTAAAAAAATGCATTCTCCCGCAAATTTCATCTTGCAATACAGAGATATACAAAATTTCGTAACTAAACTTTGCAATTATTCTAATTTTAGTACGTCTTTCTATGCTTTAAGCTCCGCTGTTGCCAGATCTAAAATTAGCCCATAGCGCATTAGGACAATGAAAGCAGCATTCAAGGACAGTAAAGAAGTGGTTGTAATAACATTCCGTCCCTACTGAAGGTCGTTTATTCACGTATATTTATAGCCCGGCAATGACATTTTGAAGCACCTTAGCTACGTATGTTAATCCTTCACGGGAATCCGAACACTGGGAGAGTTGTCATTATTTTTAGTGTTTTTTGTCTGAAATAATTGAATGTGAAAATGATGTTCAGCAGTGTAGCAAACCTGATATATAAAAAGTACTGTATATAAAAACAAAATGATATTCGATTTTTAAATTTTTCTGGTCCGGAGTGCGCCACTTTGTTATAAACAATATCAGAAGTAATAACCTAAAGATTAGCATCTGCAAATCGAAAGTATCGATCAGTCGGGTTAATCAAGTATTAGTAAACGATTGAAGTGTGTTGCCGGAATCGTACCCTTATCTCATGTTAATTATACATCCTGTTATACTGAAAAGGGAAGAAAACACTTTGAAACTGCAAAGAAAGGTTGTTAGAAAAAAACTTTCAAAGAACACAAACTTCCATTCCAGATCTCTAATATAAATATAGGGTGCTAATGCCACAATGAGCATCAGATCAAAGTTTTTTGTTGAGGAAGGACAGTATCTACAATCTCAGCGCAAATAGAGATAAAATACTTTGGTATTGAACTTGAACATTACAAAGACAACTAAGGTAATTGCACAATACGTTATACATTTAGTGGTAAAATAGAAATCCTTGCGATGGATTAAAAATGCAAACCAAGATTTTATAAGTTTAAAATTCGTTGGGAGCTCTGATTTTGCAGATTTTGACGAAATATTTTAAAGATATTAAAAGAAAATGAGTTTTGATGCAATTTAGGTTCTACGATAAGGATTTTTTGTACCGAAAATGGATTCCTTAAAAAACATACCTACGTTTGACCTATAGGTTAACCGCAGTTTTTGTTAAGTTATTTCTTGACAGTACTGTATGCGCGATGCAACAAAAGCTGTTTTCAAGAAGGTTCTATCATATTCAATGTTGTGAATGTACAATACCATATACTGTATTGCAAAATTAAATTACCATCATTCTTACCGCCTGTAGTTCCTTAGCATTGCTTGTGATGTAACACTAGAATTGTTTGTGATGAAATAATAGGAAAATTTGTAAATTAAAAATTAATTGAAAATTAAACCTATCGGCAGCTGAACGCTAAGACGAAATTTCAGTATAATTACAAAGATGATTTATTCACAAAGCGAATCTGTTGTAGAAAATGCATGTTTAACAAGAGTAAACAACTATATGGACAGTTCTAAGGCGATTATATAAAATAACGTTTGCGCAAAATGTAGTTCAAAACGTTCTACAAAGTATTTTTTTCTTTGAAAATAATCCCCGAGCCGGCGCAAAGCGCCGTGTGATGGTACTAATTCCGCCCGGAGATTAGGAATTACACCCGGGTATTGTGATAGAACATAGCGGAATCCAAAGTTGTCCAAATTCTATGTCATGGACCGAGGACGTTCATGGCACTTCTGTGCACACGCAAAATTTGAACGGGTAAGGACTGTTGATTAGCAACTTACTGATTGGCTAAGACGAAATGCTTGCATTTCATTGAAAAACGACAGCAATTTAATGGTTATTTTGCAAACTATTTTTTTGCATATTATTTTTTCGTAAACAGAATATGAAATGCGGAATCAAATAAAATTATATAAACACTTAAGCGGTAAACAACTCGTACTTTATAAACCTTGAAATGGTATGTGTCTACTTTGCTTATTTCGGTAGCTTATTATGTCGTTTTCCGAAGACGTTCGTTCATCGTTTTAACTTCAAAAAGAGTTCTTGAAAGTGTAATTTGGGAGATTTGATATAACAAATATCACTTTGAAGCTATTATAGGGTCGACTACAATCACTGCATGATTTCAATCACAACAAAAACAACAATAAATAAACTGTGATATTTGATAACTTCATGGGATTTTAAAAAATTATTATATATTTTCTTAATTAAGTTTGAAAGTTTCAGACAACGATTGAGATGGCGAGTACCAAAACCAAGCTGACTAAAGAGCAAGTATCACAGGCTGTGAAGATATTTGGAGAATGGTTTCCTGAGGAGAATGATTCTCATTTTATCGCCTCTTCGTTTGTGATTATACGATTAATGCATAATGTCATCTCCAGTAAACAATCTACGCCTTGCTTGGAACGGTGACTACGAATCCTTGAAGTATTTCGTAAGTCAAGATCTAAATATTGACGGTGTGTGGGAGCAGCCAGGCGGCGACCAGAAAGTATTTAAATCGAACAATATTTTAATCAAATGGAGAAGGAGCAAGAACCTACTACATCTCGAAGGAGCAGAGGCGGATGCAATTACGAAGCTTCTTTGCTCTATGCTCAGTCAAAGTTTCGCTGAAAATGTCGCTGTAAACGACTTCGAGAATGATGTGGTTGTCGTAAACGACTCAGCTAACTCAAGCGAAACTGATACTCAGCAAGGCCGTGTTCACAAAAGTAATGCTAACAGCTTGGATACTGAAGCGCTTATGGCCGGACAGGCTATCAATACCGAAGCCATTCGTGCACTATCTGATTCTCTGGTACATATAACCGAAGTTCTTACAAACCTTCAAGAAAATATAGATAAAAATCAGAAAAACGATGGAAATCCGCTTAATTATATGCAAAAAGGTATTGCTACTGCAGAAGAAGAGATAAATAATGAGCAGAATACAATTGAAGTTAACGAAGTGTGCGAAGCAAGTC